TTTCTTTTTCTTTCGTTCTTTATTTTTCTTTGTTACCAAGGTTTTGTTTCAAGTGTTGTTTATTTGTTAGCAAAAACAAAACAAAAAAAAAGTGCAAAAATCCCTTGAGCATTTTCCTTCAAACATTTTGAAGGAATGGAGCTCAGACCAAGGAAGGACCCATGAAAATTTGGTTCATTTCCAAGTGGATGCCGCCGGAATCTTAATGTAATAAGCAGGAGCCTGGTGTCTATGGAGGTGTAAAATTTGGTGCTGATACAAATTAGGATTGCTCGTCCTTGGTGGAGATTCGCGCTCTACTGAGTGTCATTCTAGTTAATGTGTATTGACAGGAAAGATCTGGAGGGGGCCCAATTTATGTTAACTGCAAAACTGCAGATGTATTTTGAAAGGAATTTAGCTTGGGCTGGACCACCATGTCAACTAATGAACCCATGCTTGTTTTCTTAGCGTCATTAACTATGAGACTCGAACCTAAAGCTTTTCTCCAATGGCAAACAGTTGCTTGGTAGCAACTTTACCAGGGGAATTACTTGTCAAAGTGAGAAGTGGAAATTTAGGGGAAAACTTTTTTAATTGTGCTGAAATATCTTTTAACATTTTTATTGGTGTGTGTGTGTGTGTGTGTGTGTGTGTGTGTGTGTGTGTGTATACAGTATATATATATATATATATATATATATATATATATACATTTTATGAGCAACTGTTTTTAAACGTTAGGAGTACATTCTATAATATCCCAACTTCATTGTCCAGTCTTGTCAAAACATTCAACCAACATGATTAATTCTTTCACAGAATCCTGTCGTCATGATATATGTTAATGAGAAAACTGCACGGAAGGTTTTTGTTGTTGTTTTTTTTTTTTTTCTGTGCTGTTTCCAAGTGTCAAGTTACATTATGTCTCATGTGATGCATTAATTTGACGATGTGCTATTGATAACATCTGCTGCATGGCTTGTCAAATTGTTGTTTAGCAAACCATCAAAAAGACCTACATATATAATGGAACTAAATATTATCCAGAAGTGAGGATAAAATGCTGCTACATTTTCAATTTAACGTACCAGAGCAGTTGGACTGTGGATCTGGAGTGCACAATGACTTCCCATTAATAGGTTGGAAGTGTCAGGAGAGCCCAGTCTGGGCATGTGGATATGGCCTGTTGCACTGGGGTACATGCCCCCAGCCATCTGGGCTGATTTGACAAATGATTCTCCATCAAAGGCCTGCGCACTGATTTGTGTGGTAATTGATTGGAAGGGAGGTCTTCAAATCCCTGATAGGTTTAGGGGGATCTGGAGGGGAGATATTGTGTGGCATGTGCTAGGAATAGGCAGCCATCAGGAGCGAGGGAGAAAATACAGAGCAGGAGGTGTGGGGAAACTAGATTCTCAACTGTGCTTGAATCCTACTTTGAGAGATTTCGAATGGCATGCTGCAAGACACGTTGTTCTTTCTGTAAGTCAGAAATGATTTGGTGACATTACAAGTCGCGTGTTTGCTGTTTTTATTTCCCCGATGCACCTGCCACAATATCCAATTTGTTTGTTTCACCATGAAGATTGGATTTCACCACTCCAAAAGAAGAATTTGGTTGGTAATGAAATATCATTGATTGGGTGCATGTGGAGGTGTCGTCCAATATAGATATATGAGCATGGCAACTTGGCCGAGACGGAAGCACACATTAAATATTCCTTCATCACTTTCTCCTGAATCTTTTATGCCATTAGCCCTTGTTGTGGAAATTGTGGGAGAGGAATAACATCTGTCATGGGGGGTTGGCATTGTTCTATCTATTGAGGATGACGGCAACCTCAAAAGGGGATAATACTGGAATGAAAAGAAGATATGCTGAATGAATTTTCTCCACTTACTAATTGTAACAAACATATGGCGAATGGAAAGTTTCCGCCATTTTGCAACGGTGACTTTTTAAACCTACACCATACAGTACCTACAGTATGTTGCATGTCCTTTAGATACAGAAAGACACTGGAGCGGCCTGTTAATATGACAGTGAGAGTGGCTGACTGCCTTTATTACACGGCAGCCTGGTGGCACCGCAAACGTTTCCTCATTTGATCGAGACATGCGGTTGTTGGTAGTGACAGATGCCACGTAGCACTGCTCCCAGAGGCCATAAATGACCTTTCTGCTTGTCTTTTTGTACCCAGTGACAAACTTCATTTGTTTGACAATGACCACCAATAGCGCGTTTACGCCAGTTGTCTATCTCGACACCCTTACATTTATTGTCGTGGCCTATTCAAGACATGTTGGGTAGATACATGCGCATGCCAGAATACCAGCAATGCCTCACAAACCACGCCTCTGGAGCTTGATGCCTTTAATATAAACTTAATTGCTGCATGACGACGCTCTTGTTTGGATGCCAGGGGGATTTCCTTTTATTATGCAGAATGAATCATCATTAGGGTGTGCTTATTCAGTGGCCATTTCTAGACTTTAAAATGTTGCTGCACGCTGCTTTTTTGAAGCATTTGTATGGGTTGCACTCGAAGAGGTGGGGGTATGTACCAGGCTCATTACTCAACTTTGCTATTGTTGGATGATTTGTTACAAGGGAGGAGTTTATTTTGTGGGGCAAACGCACTGGTGAAAGGACATCTTGATGCACAGCTGTAATTTGTCTTCAATATTTCTGAGCTGGCATAAAATGAGTAGCAGTCAGGCCTCATACTATCTGAGGTGCTTGAACCCCACCCCCACCCCCAACCCTTACCCTCACCATCTGTCACCTAACTGGATTATACTGCAATACGGCACATGCGGATATGTACTGTATGCACTCATGTGTACCTGCATACAATAATTGCACATTAATTAGCTGCACAAGTTAACATAAAAACAACCACCATTTACTACTTGCATAAATCCCATTTGCTTTATTTTAGAAGTATCCAGCGTGACATGAGTGTGACACTGTTGTTTATATGCAGGAAAAAAAAATAATTAAAAATCTATGTACATGCATATTATTGTGCAGTACTTGTGGTTTAATGAGAGGCACTTCTTCATGCTGCAGCCTTGTGAAAAACTGACACAATTCTCTACCGCCTGAAGCCTGGTGTCAGAGTTATGATCTTAGCCTCACCCTTTATCCGGACTGCTGTACTGTAATGATGCTCTGAGGTGAGCCCACTCATCAATTATTCACAGAATCCTAGATTTTCACTCTTTATCTTCTTGCCAGTTTACCATTTAAGAAAACCAGCAGAGAAAATAAAAGGAGCAGGAGTGGGGAGAGAAAGCGAGAAAAAAAAATGAAGGCGGCAAGTTGCTTACTGAGAGAATGAGATAGTTGGCGGTGGGCAGACAATGCATTCAATGTGAGTATAATTGTAGTTTAGCGATGTGTGGTCCTTTGGGATTTTCACGATGCAGTATATGGCCTTTAGACTAAAGTCGCTATGGAAACCAAAGGACCCCAACGACCTGCGGTGCCCACCCACTCGGACAGCCGTTAATCATCTTCGCTCAGATCCTGGCACTGCAGAATTTGGCCAATGTGTCAAGAAGCAATTATATATACCCGATTTCTTCCCTGCCCTCTCCTATCCCCCACTCTCGCACTCTCTTAATATAATCATAGAGGAGCACGTTTAAAAGCCCTCTCCGTCATTACACTATCTTGAGTAGAGGGCGGAGGGGGGTGCAGACAATTCAGAGGATGACGAGATGCGCAGAAGGACAGAGAAAACCATTTTAAATGTGAATATTCTTTTTCATACGAATCATATCCAGTCATTTGTTCGCTCACTTAACGGGCCCCCGAGATGACTGACGTACTAAATTACCCCAGCTGGCCCATTGCGATGGCAGCGCATTTTGGGTCGGAGCAGATCACGAAGACTAATGGGAGCTGACGAGACGGAGGTTATGTTCTGCCACTAACAGCTAAAATGTACAGAACCATTACACCAAACCACTGTTTCCCCATACATGAGCAAATGGGTGCACAGAAAGAGGATGGAGTTCACGAAAAGGAATATCTCTAGACTGTCATCATGTCATCACACGATGAGATAGGATGAATGTAATATTGCACTGTATGCCTACAGTAATAACCTTGTGAAGAATTGCTCCATACTTGCGTGAAGGACATCTTGCCTTCTGATCACACCTTGATAGCCTCTTTGCGTGATTTCTCCATGACAAAAATGAAGGAAGTTTGTCCTATTTTATTCTTATTTTCTGTCCTCCCACATCTTCACTTGCCAACGTCATTATTTGACAGCGGGATGTACGTTAGCTCTACCGAAGAGGACATGGCTTTGACCAGTTGATGACAGGCTGCCGGACAGGTTCCCTCCATTGAGCTTTTATATTGAGGTCGTTCGCTTCTCGCCGTGCCACCACCGCCACTCATTCACCCGAAAAATGGACACACAGTCAATTATGACACATCAGCTGCTAAGTGAACTGAGATTGTGTGAATTTCACTGCATAACACATCATCACATTGGGGAATGGCTCAGAAGCAGAAGTGGAAAGTTACTTCAAAAGACTTGACGTCATTAGTGTGTGGTGAAGACTCGGACCCTGCATGAATTTGGATAATTAGCATTGAATAAATATCCACAAGTTGCTCCAGCCTGTCAAACTTGAAGCACATTGCAACATCAAGTTTATGAAGTACTTTACTGAAATAAATCCAACAATTTTCTAAGGCAAAAAGCCTTACCTCTGTCAAGTTAGTTTTATGTGTACAGAAAGCCTTTCGATATTTATATGTCATGTCTTTGTTTATCATAATTGCTTGTTATTGCAATACAAGTGTAGCCTATACTACTGGAAACAAATTCCTTGTGTGTTTAATATACTTGGCTAATAAAGGTAATGTTGATTTTGACTGCATCATACTGAGATATTTGGGTCAATGTTGAACATCCACTTGATCACCAAACATGGTTCAAAGCCTGATAGAGACTGAATGGTATTTTCTTAAATCTAAGTAAGGCGGAGCTTACCTTATGAGGACAAATGGGTGGTGGCGAGTGAAAAGACTTCTCTGGCGTTTGGATCGCATCCTACAAGAAAAACACATTATCAGGGGCATGTTTGATTGGAGGTCATCTCCTGTAACTCCTCTTTGACAGCAGTTGTATCTTATTTCCTCTTTGTAGGAACACTTTGGGAAATATTTTAGTGGGTTTCAGCAAGTGAATAAACAAACATGTGCCAGTTGACCACTAATCCAAGACCTACTACGGCTTTTGTTAAGACTCATATTAAATCTTCATCGTGCTCATATCTATCAGATGTCACGTGATGGTCTTGTTCTGCTTTCTAGTCCAAACCATTATTTCAGTCCCCCTACAAAGATTATAAATCCTTTGTAGGAAGATTTCCCAAAACATATGTCTCTTTGCTGGAACTCTTTTTTTTTTTTTAGGGTTAAATGACTATCACATTGTGAAGATACAAATACATTGCTTACATACAAGAAAACCCCATTAACAAGCAGACACGAGGTATGTCAACAAGCCAACAACAGATGGTCCCACTGCTTGTGATTATGCAAAGATCCACATTATTTGCATACTCACAATTCCATGGTGGAAAAAAAAAACAACACCCCCCCCAAAAAAAAAAAAAAAAAAAACGGAAACAGTCAAGTATCTTGAGCTGACCTTAGTGAGGGATAAAACGCACACATGTATGAGGAGAAAGCAGCAGGAAAGTGATAGCTGAGTGAAAGATCTACCAAGGAGCTGGGAGCCGTGTCATAGGCCCCGTTGTTTGCTAAGCAGGTGTTTTCAATTATACCCTCATATCCAAACATGCAGCTGGGGCACGTTTAATTGTGCCCCGTACGATATCACCAGGACAGATGTGACACTCAACTTTCGACTCTCAGCATTTATATTTAATTGTATGGAAGGAAATCACCTCACCGGCCAGCCTAACCAAATGAGGATTGAAAAAGGAAAAAAAAAAACAGCCAGGCTTTTACTGCAGCATAAACACCACATTCATGAAATATAAATGAATAAACGGGCCGAGCTGGGACAATGAATTTAGTCGACAAAATTTTCCCTGCAGATTGAGTTGGCTATGTAACCATGATACCATCTAATTGATGTGACAAATAAACATGAGTTGTTGTCTTGGGGGATACATGCAAGAAATGGTTGCTTTGTTTGAGTGCACACAAACACACATATGCATGCGTTCATCTAGACAGAGCAATTTCCACCAATGACCTTCATTCCAAGCCATATCTTACTGATCAAGTCGGGAGAGCAAAATCTTTTGCAGCAAGCCAAATGACTTTTCCCAGTGTCACAATCACCTGGACCACCCACCTGCGTACAAAACACTATGATCCTAATGTTCCAGCTCACAAAAGCTCTTTGCCAGCCGACATGAACATTACATGGGCACAAAAGAAGTCAGACTCGAGCTGCTAACCCTGCAGGGAGAAAATATTTTCCTTCTCATTAGCCTTGTCACCTTTCAATGAACTGCGAACGGGACAACATGACCACAAACAATGAACAAAGCTGAAAGTAACACTTTGTTGTAATCATTCCTTAAAAACAAAACAAAAACAAAAAGTATGGTGGCTTGCAATCACAAAAATGGTCATATCTTAAGACTATATCATCACGTTTGTGAGTGTTTGCGAAGGTAGCAAATGTTGCTTTCTCATCAAACGATCTCCAAACCCTCGCCAACAGTTGGAATGTTTTTTTTCTTGTTGCAAGGAAATTATGAACATGCCCAAAATTCCCTTGCAACAAGAAGAAACATGAAAACTGTTGGAGAACATTTGGTGAACCTTTCCGATCTTGAAACCTGATGAAAACGCAACATTTGCAACGTTCATGAACACTCCCAAACATTTGCCTCTCTGTGAGTTACAGGGTTTAAACGCAGATGCCGATCTGTACTAGCCCGAGTGGCTGAAAATGTAATTAGTCCTCACAAACTGAATGGTGATGCCTTCAGAATTGTTTTAAACCACTCACTGGAATACACTGATATAGTTTGCCCAAATATCGACACATCGCTTTCTGAACCTGTCTTTTGAAACAGATATAAACACTTACACATGTGGCATTAACTAACCTTAACTCCAACACATCTACTCACAACACCACAAAAAAAAAAGAAAAAAAAATAGTGGCGTCCAGTAATTTTGTTTACTTTAAAGTGCATGCTTTAAATCACATCGAATTTACCTTACACAGAGCTCCATGACATTTATTTAAAAATCTAAATTAAAGGTAAACAAAAGTGTGGGTATCCGACCGTCAACAGCCATTTTAATCTAAGACTGCAAATAAGACAGACGATAACGTATTTACGAGTAAAAATTAGTTCCGTAAATAGTCCTGATTCTCAGTCATTCAGTTCATACACAGCAAGGAGCCAAATGGAAACTTCAAACCAAGTGCTAATGACATCAACATCGTTTTATAAAACTAGCATATAGCGCCTTACTCTCTGTTTGCAACTCCCATTGAAATGCACTCACACTGGGCTTAAAGGAGCAATGTAGTTCAAGGATTATCAAATGCCCTTGATCATGTGATGTTTTTTTTCTTTTTTTCTAAATTGGTGGCACATAGCACTAAATCCGGGGTGAGAGGAGCTCTTGACAGTGCAGAATGTAACGAGTAGAGGCCTGTGCTATAGTGATGAAAGAGATGAGACTGAACAGTACTTTGCGCATCGGAGTAAAAAAAAACAAAAAGTGCCATGCAAATGAAATGTCTATTACACGTTTGTGTTATTCAATATCTGTATTGCTACTTATGCACATTATCCTTTCCATGAATGTAAATGTTTTTTTTCTTTCATGTTGACACTTGAGTCACCCGTTTTGAGAGAGCCTTATTATTTGGGTATTGGGATGCACAAAAATGTACTGAAGAATATTTGCCTTTGAAAAAAACAACAAACCATTGTATGTCCCAACTGATTTTCTCAACCACACTGCATTATATCCCCCTCGCCCACCCACCCACACACACACACACACACACACACACACACACACACACACACACACACACACACACACACACACACACACACACACACCCTGATGCTGTTCATTAGAAAACCCTGAGCCTGGGGCTATTTTGCAGGGTTTCAATCCCTGCATTATTATTTAGCTACTTGCATTGGACATGCAATCAAAGGGACACGCAATTTGTGCAACACTTGTCCTGCAAAGCAATGCCATTTCCATGAGGCCCAGTCTGAAATCGTATTATAATGAGCCAGGGGCTCTGTGGCGCAAACTGTCCCTCAAAAAAACTAGCCTTCATCCTCAGTGTATTATCACCCCCAATTAATGTCGTTGCCAAGACGAAAATGAGAGGTATCAAAACAATTATTTTGATATGGCTTCAAGCAGCACAAAATTCCAACGTGAATGGTAACGGAACCTTGGATCATTATAATGCCTGCTTACAGGCAGAAAAAGCCCATCAAAAATGACTGAATATCATTTTAATGGATAAAAACCAACAAGGCCTTCATACTGTCTACCTGACATGTTATTGATAGACCATGTCAGTCAAGCTAAAGAACACAAGGACAGCATACAGACAGGCTGACAAGACGTACGCTGACTGCCTTCCATCTTCCTTCCTGCCTCGTATGTTTATCTTGAATATGAGTGGAGTCAGGCACCGTGCATCTGCATACGCGACGATGGTGGTTCAGAAAACCAGTGCCTAAGTGAAGCTGCGCAGACAGCACAGACACTTTGAAACGTTGCCAGGGTGGGCCTAATTTGCAAAGCAGTATTGACAACAAAATACACCACCACTTCAAACCAAATTCTAGTGAAACCAACTGGCACGGCTGCTGAGTTTGTGAAGAGAAGGATTTTGAGTGGGTAACATCCAGTGTCTTGTCTCTTGTTCATAGACCTTGCGCTGCACCAGTTCGATGCGATGATTTTTTTGGCAGGGAAAGAGGGTCTAATTTACATGAGAGGGAGTTCTGGAGTCACATGGGAGCTTGCCTTTGACCAACATGCCAACAACCCTCTGGATAAACAATGCAATTACAACTTATATGGCTACTGAGTTTCAAACAAACTTTCTTAACACAATGTGAACACAAAAGTATGATAAACAGTTATTCTATTTGTGTGGAAATCCTGAGAGGGTATGGGCGCGCGCGCGTGTGTGTGTGTGTGTGTGTGTGTGTGTGTGTGTGTGTGTGTGTGTGTGTGTGTGTTGGGGGAGAGAAAAAGCAAAGCAGTGGAATCATAATTTGCTGACTTGAATCAGATGATCAGACGTCACTGGTAACAACCAGGGCCAGAATATTAATTTTCCTCAATGGACGATGTATTTCCGCACCGGTCGTGGCAGGGATGCAAATAACCAGGTTAGCTTAGCGCAAACTAAACAAATAGGACGACACAAACAGATGGTTTTAAAATTGGTCCAAAACAATAACTGGTTCAGAAAATGGATGGATGGTTGGAAGGCCAGCCTGGCCAATGTATGGCAAGAAATCCTGGAGATTGAGTAAATTATTTGAACATGGTGCAGTTGTATTGCAGTCAGCACAACGGTCCGTGTATGCGATCTTTTCAAAAACTCAACTCAACTCAACTGTATTCAAAGAGCACTTTAAAACAGCCACTGCTGTATACGAAGTGCTGTACATGGAGCAAATATCATATATACAACAATAAATTAATAAGGAAGACAGTAGAAAGCACAAAACAGTAAAACTAAGATCAAGTCTGAAAAAAGGAATACAGTATATTTGGCCACATAGCATAATTGCATAAAGTAATTTTTCAATATATTTCTAAGACAAGAATAACCACAATTTTTAGAACATGTATGATATTTTTTATTGGTATTGTAAAAAAAAAAAACAATGAAATGGGTGAAGAAGAAAGTGAAAGAAAAAGACTCATTCAAAAATACCAACATTTGTACCAAATGTTTTTTTTTCCCTTGTTTTTCATAATAATTGAAGTGTTATGTTGTCGACAATATGAATATGAACCTTGTAAAAGCACTTTGGACAAAATAAGGTGTTGATA